ACACCGTTACCGAAGCGCAGGCGCATCCCTTACCTCCTCCGGGCAGTTGGGTGGACGCGGCAAACGCTTCTCTTCCTGCAAGACGCGCACCAGCCGCGCTACCGTCATCTGTCCCTGCGTGGGGCCGATCATTTTCAAGAACTCCTGTGGGAAGAGCAGGAGTCGGCCGCGCGTCCCCGGCCCGCACAAAGCCCGGCCCCTCGGTCCGAGGCTCGGCCTGAGAGCCGACAGCACGCGTTTGTCACCCAGAGCCCGCGCCACACGTGTCACGGACCAGATGGAACAGTTTTACAAGCGTTTTCCTCACCAGGACACGCCACGACTTCTCCTCCTTAGTGAAAGCCAACCACGAGGGTTGTTTTCGGAAGATAAGAGCTTAAATTCCACTTTTTGTTTCCAAAAGTACTAATTATTTTTTCAAAGATACCCCGATTTAAGCAGCTTGAGCAGCAGTTTCTTGAGCAACCACGTACCGCCATGGGGCTGGACTCCGAGTCGCAGTAGGTAAGCAGTTCGTACAGCGTCACCCCGAACGACCAGACATCGGAGGCAATATAAAACTTGCTCTGCAGCAGGCATTCCGGAGCGTACCTGCGGGCACAGCGCCACAGCGTTAAGGGGTTGGGAGCCGCGCACTGCCCCGACGGCGAGCAAACCGACGCTCTGCGTCTGCCGAGTCCCTCTACAAACGAAGGTGCTCACAGGGGGAGGAGACAAGGGACAACTCCTACACAGCAAGTCGCTGTGGAGTTAAGGGAGACCAAGCTCGAGGGAGAACGGGTCGCGAAGCGCAGGAAGCAATAAACCCCGCAGGTGGAGTGTACCCCGTGCCTCTTCTTGCTCTGGTGTCCTGTCTTTAGTCAGCCCTCACCAGAACGGGACAAAGCCCTGGGACACCTAAAAGCCCGAAGTCTGCGGGAGCAAAGAAGCTACTGCCCGGTCCGGGCGAAGGCAAGGAGCTGAAAGCTGTTACCAGAAGACGGGGCTGTCGAGGTCGTCCTTGACGGTGTAGTACTCCTTATCCGTCTCGATTGCTTTGGTGAGGCCGAAGTCTCCGATCTTCACTCTGTTCTCGCTTTCCACCAGGACGTTCCTGGCAGCCAGGTCGCGGTGCACATACTGACGGGAGCCCAGATAGTCCATTCCCTGGGAGAGAAGAAACTCCGTTACGCCAGTTCCTCCAACACTCAGTCGCTGTTTTTCTCTAGCTTCCCCTTGCTCACATGGTAATCCTCCACCCAGGATTCCCATGGCGGGTTCTCTGTCTGTTGGCACTTTCAGGGTCCCTTTCTGACAGCCCCCCCTGCCCCAAACTCGCCTTTGGGTTCTTGTTTCTGCTTTGAGCTTTTCAGTTTTCAGCTGAGCAGCCACTACCCTCCAGCCCCCTCTCTCCACAGCAACTGTTCCTTTGTCCCTGCGCTCCCCAGAGCTGCCCAGGCCGCCACCATCACTCCCCATGGTCTCTTGCTTCACACAGCCTGACCGCCCTCTGCACCCCCACCTCCCCCTCGCCTTAGACTTCCACGTTGCTCCTTCCCCCTTGCCAACACGCTTTGTAAACCACGGAACGGTTTGGGCTGGGAGGGACCTTAACTCCCACCCAGTCCCACCCCCTGCCATGGGCAGGGACACCTTCCACTAGACCAGGTTGCTCCAAGCCTCATCCAGCCTGGCCTTGGACACTTCCAGGGATGGGGCATCCACAGCTTCTCTGGGCAACCTGTCCCAGTGCTCTCCACCCTCTGCGGGAAGAATTCCTTCCTGATGTCCCATCTCAATGTCCCTCTTCCCGTTTAAACCCGTTATCCCTTGTTCTGTCACTACAGGCCCTTGGGAAAAGCCTCCCCCAGCTTCCTTGTAGCCCCTTCACGTACTGGAAGGCTGCAATAAAGTCTCCCCGGAGCCTTCCCTTCTCCAGGCTGAACAAGCCCAACTCTCCCAGCCTGTCGCCATGGCAGAGGGGCTCCAGCCCTCGGAGCATCTCTGGGGCCTCTGGACTCCTTCATACTCCCAATTCTGCAGCAGGAACAACATTTTCCCACAGTAACCTTCTACACGAGGGAATCTGGTGATTGTTCCCCCGCTGATTGCTGTGCCAGCAGCACCTGAAGCAGGGGAGGGAATGCTTGTGGCTCGTGTCCTTGGGGACAAGGAAGGAGGATGGTTTCATTCATCATCCAGCGCCCCGCCCCCTCACCCTTTCATTCATCACCCAGCGCCCCGCCCCCTCACCCCGCGAGGTTACACCACTCCAGCAGAAGAGCTGCGGGAAGCGCAGGCGCCAGGCTCACCTTGCAGATCTGAACCGCGTATCTGAGCAGCTGTTTGAGGTTGATTTTGTTCTTGTTCCGTGGGAGATACTCCTTTAGGCTCCCAGAAGGAAGAAATTCCATGATGAGCTTAATCCCACTTCCTCCTAAAGACAGAGCGTGTGTTAAACTTGCAGACCCGCGGCCCGTCTCAGGCCATCAGCACCGATACCTCCCGCACACGCCCAGGGCAGCACCGGCTCCAACGGCATCGCGTCACCATGGCCAGGCTGCAGGCTGACTCCCGTTATCCATCACCGAGCCCATCTCAAGGAGAATCCGCTCCAGAGAGGACAGTTACTGAATGTAAAGTTTTTCAGCATTGGCTTAAAAAAAGCCCTCTTACAAACGCAGAGATGCGAGGCAACAGAGCGCTTTTTCTGTGAGTAACGCCAGCCCCCGGGGCACGGCTGGCTGCGGCGCTCGGCTCGCTCCCGGCACACGCACACCACCAGCCGGCCCGGTGCTCCGCTCCTTCAAAGGATTCGGGGGAGACCAGCGACCACCGTGCTCGCATCACGTCGGTTACGCCCAAAAACAGGCCGCAGGACGGCCTTCAGGAGAGAAACGGCTGCTTTTCCTTGAAGGAAGAGCTCTAAACCCCTGAGAGTGAACTAAGACTTTCACTTTTTAAAATACTTGATTCTTGAGGGAAACCCGAACAGCCTTAGTGTACACTTTTAATGTTCTGCATAAAGGTTTACCGTCTTCCGTGCAAATTCCCTTGTATTTGACGATGTTCTCGTGATAGAGATTCCTCAAGATTTCTATTTCCTTCTTGAGATCAGCGATGTGATTCCCTCCACTCTCTGGCTTTAGAGATTTAACTGCCACCTGCTCCCCTGTATTGTCGCCTTCCGGGTCGTACCTGCAGAGCTCAACCTTCCCGAAGTGGCCCTAATCAGGAGAGAAAAGAGTTGGGACTCCACCCGAGGCTCCCTGCTGTCCCCGAGCACTGCCATAGGCACCTGCGCGTCAGCCTTCCTGCTGGGACGCCGGAAGCACACGCGGGGAGCTGTGTGCACACACGCTTAGCGCATCCCGTGCCTGCCCTTTCTTACCTCTCCCAGATCGCGGATTCTTTTCAAGAACCGTTTCTCAAAGAGCGTGGGGTCGACCTCTGTGAAGGGTTTCTTCTCCGAGATGATATCAGGATCTGGGAGCGGAAAAGAAGCCCCGGGTCAAATTCCCACACGGGCATCTTGCTCCTGACACCTCACAGCATCCTACCCGCCTCCGGTCTGCTGCCGTTGGTGCGTTCCTGCCCCGCTGCCGCAGCTTCTCTGACCGAAACCCTGCCTGCCTCTCGCCGGGGATCCCTTCCCTCGGCCGGGCCACGCTACCCCCGGCTCACCTTCCCCGCTCCGGGGTTGCTCCCTGGGTCTCGCCCTCACTCAGTTCTCTCTCTCGACACTTCCCACCCTGCAGCAGGTGTCCGGCCTGTGGGATTATTTACAGGAGGCATGGGACGTGACGTTCTGCCCTGCTGGCTGTCCTGCAGCCACGTCAGCATACGGTGGGGCAGGAACCAGCTACCTGCGTTAACGCCCTGGTTCGGGCAGGACATCCCCCCAGAAACCTCCCACGGAACTCGGAGCGCCCTGCAACTAACTTCAGCTGGCGCGTAAAACACGGACCGCGGAACGACATGACAGCAACGCCCCCAGCCCCCACGTTCAGCGGGAAGCAAGCACTCCCGTTCGCCCTCATCCCTGGAAAGGGCTACTTCCTCGCTGTCGGGACGCGACGCGCTCCTGCCAACGCAGCCGCACGCGCCAGAAGGCTCGGGCAAATAAACTGGCCGGCCTCACACCCCCCTCCCCCAGCCCGTAAGCAAAGCCAGGCCTCACTCTGTTCCTCCAGTTTGTTGATGTCCCTCATGATTGCCCGGAAGAAGGGTCTCTGGTGGGGGTCGTAGTTCATGCACTGCTTCATCAGGTCAGCTAGCTCCTTGCACGACGGCGTCGCCAACACGAAATGCCCCTCGTAGAACCGCTCCTTCTGCAGGGTGCAGATGGAAACCCCGGCGTGAATTTCAGCTTGTAACTCGGCAAACCCGCGTTCTGCCTCCGAGGCGGGGCCGTTCCATCCCTAACTGTCAGCTTTCCCCCAGCTTTGCCGTGGAAATCCTCCTTTCCAGCACCAACTCTAACCCACCCCTACCAGCAGAGTTACTACTGTGCTGAAGCTGGTGGAGTTGGGAGCAACCACTCGGCACACACGAAGTCCCTGAACCGTGCGAAAGACTTCACCGTTCAGGAGTTATTTTTCTGCCACGTTTGCCATGCTACTCATGCCCCGGGACAAACGGACAGCGGGAAATGCTCGCCAGGGAAACAACGCGGTGCCGGCTGCTCTTCACAACCCCGGGAAGGTACCAGCTTCGGGGCAGCTGGGATGAGGGTGGGCTTGTGCGCTTCCTAAGCTGTGCAGAACGACCCCGGCTGTCTGCCACATGCCGGAAGCGGGCTGTAGCCAGGGCAGCAAGTTCCTCTCGGCTACCTCCTGTTAAAACAACTCTGGCAGCGACCCAAGTACTCAGTCATTTCCTTCAGACCAGCAGCGGCTGCCGTGCTCCATCCCCTTCCCAACACGGCAGAACTTCGGGACAAAGCACGTTTGGAACACGTGCTGAGGGATGCCGGCAGCGGGGACCAGAAACTGCCATCAGTAAGGCAGAACAAAGTCTATTTAAAGTGGGTTTAGATTCCAGAGGGAACGAGAACGGTGTCCCCAGAGGAGGCTAGGTGAACCGGGGTCCAAAGGAAAGCAGCAAGGCCAGAACCCGGCTGCTTTTAAGCAGAACCTCTGGCCGTTCGTAACTGGGCACAGGGGTTAGGAAAGGACAGGGGTGAGAGCATCTGTTCTGCTTCACTCCTACTGCGCTGAGACTGGAGAATCACCAACAAGGTGAGGCTGAGGCAATAATGAGCAGGTTTTACAGCAAGAATTGCCATGTGGCAGCTCAGCTGGGTCAGCCCCGCACCAAGTCCAGCCGAGCTGGTTGTCCTGCAAGTTGAGAGCAACTCCGATGGGGTGCGGACAGTGAGGTGCCAGAGATGTCGGATAAACCTACGTAAGGCAGTTTTACCTCTGCTAACGTCTTGTCTTTCAGTGGGATTTCTCCATTGTAGCAGATTTCCCACAGTGTTGTGCCAAAACTCCACTTATCTGCCGCAATGCTTAGATTTTTGGAGTCTTCAACGCATTCGGGTGCAATCCAGGGGATTCGCTCAACACATTCTTAGATAAAACACGGAACCAAAGCATTTGGGGGTTAATATCGAAGGACTAAAAAAACCCAGCCCAACTTCACTGTTCTGTCTAACACCTGCTGAATTAAATTAACCAAAGCTGCAGTAGTTGTCCAGTTTCAGGGCAATCTTCATTCTCAAACCCCTGTTCTCAGAAGGACGTTTCTGGGGCTTTTACAAGCTCAGACCTGGAGCCATCCTACTATCTCACCAGACTCAACCTGACTTTCTAAGAGCAGCCATGGTCAGCAACACGCCTTTACCTCCAGGCAGTTTTCAGATTCTCACCTCTAGTCTAGAGCCCGTTCTACCTGGTGCAAACGACCTTCCCCTCCGGTTCCCCACCACACCGCAGAGTGAAATCCGATTCCCGCAGCTTACCTTGTCTGGACAGCACAGTTACTGGTATTCCCGGGTCGCTCAGCTTTATGAAAGGACCGTACTCCGTGTCGATTCCCTCTCTTGCCAGCAGGATGTTTTTAGTACACACGTTTCCATGTACCAAATCCTTATCCTCCTACAGTAAAGAAGGAAGAGAATTGTGAGCAGAGTGAGCGAGCAACGCTCCAACACACCTACAGCCTAGGGGATCACAAGCTCAAACCCAAAAATGCAGCTGGGAAGAAATTATCCTGGAGTAAAAGAGGGAAAGGAGGAGTAGGGAAGCAGACTGTTCACACTTGAGTACTTGTATGCGTAGAGCCGAGGCCTTCTGGAAAAATGACAGACGTTGCACTTCCACGGAGGGCGCGCTTGCAGAAAGGGGAAGCTGTGACAGGCTCACCCCCTTCTCCGAGGGTCCTTCTCCTTATTTAAAGCAACGTAACGCACACAAAAAGAGCATCGCTGCACCACCCCGCCACCCGAGTGAGGAGATTCAGCAGCTCCGCACACGCCCTTCTCCGAGGGTCCTTCTCCTTACTTAAAGCAACGTAACACACACAAAAAGAGCATCACTGCACCACCCCGCCACCCGAGCAAGGAGATTCAGCAGCTCCGCACGCACGCGAGAGCTCCGGAGCGCC